ACACCTGGCTAGTTTTTGTGTTTTTAGTAGAGATGGGGTTTCACCATGTTAGCCAGGCTAGTCTTGAACTCCTGACCTCAGGTGATCTGCCTGCCTTGGCCTCCCAAAGTACTGGGATTACAAGCCTGAGCCACTGCGCCCGGCCAGGACTTTCTTTTTAATATAACCCCGTGCCATTATCACATCTGACAAAATCAGTAGTAGTTCCTTTATCTCACCTGAATTCCCATTCCATACTCACATGTCCCCACCACTCCCAACAGTGTCCCATTACAGCTGGTTTGTTCAAATCAGGATCCAAACAGTCCGCATGTGGCATTTGGTTGCTACATCTCTCAAGTCTCTTGGGTTTTATAACGGTACAAAAGGAAGAACGTTTGGAGCTTTTCCTGGGGAGAAAAATTGCTCAGAAAACTGATGGTCCCATAGAAGAAGAATAAAAAAGAGAGCGTATCCATGTCGAGACCTAACTCAGAAAAGTGAGACCAGGCCAAGCAAGGAAAGGGACATTTCTGCCTCCTTCCACTGGCTTGTTCACTGTAGGGGACAGCCTGCAGGCTCACAGCCTTTCTGCAGTTCCCCCTCCCACTTAGGAGGAGGCAGAGACTGAAGCCTCCCACAAGCCCTATGTGCTCCTTTCCTGGGAAAACAGGTGGGTGAAGGCAGAAGAGCCCAGGCTTCAGCCATCAAAACAGCCAGTGAAGGGAAGGGGTGGAGGGGTGCCACCTGTAAAACTCCATTGAGGGAAGGGCAGCGGGGAGGGGTCCTGGGCAGGAGAGAAGTGGGTATGAGAGTGCCCTGGCTTTCACTGGAGTAAGGGGCTGGAGAGATGGCACAGATGGGGGTTGGAGGTGCAATCTGCTTGCAGTTCCTAAAGGAGGCCTAGTATCTAGAGAAAATCGTTGTGTGTGGGGTGGAGCTGGGGGAGTCGCCTCTTCTGTAAAGCCAGGATTCCTTTTTCATGCCTTCGCAGCAGCTGCTGCTTCCTGCCCCTGCCTGTGGATGTTGGTACTGACCTGGCACACCCCACTGGACTTTTTCAAAGGCATTTGCAGCTGCATAAACAAAACTTGACTATCTCACAGTTTTCTGTCTTCTTGCTTCCCTTTTGGACATTTTTCCAAGACACCAAACACACTCCTAGGAGCCTGGTCAGAATCACCGGGACTCCCTGGTATCACAGATGGACCACAAGGCCGGAAGGCGGGCACTTTCTGTTTGCAGGGAGGGGTGGTCAGGAGAAGGCAGGACACAGTTCCATCTCCCCCTCACACCCCCACTTGAATCAAAAGTATTTGTGCCACATTCCCTCTGGGAACAATTTTGCTGCAGCATTTTCACCTCTGCTGCAGAATTTACATGTTTCCAGGCTGAAATGTCAGCATCAGCGTTTAGTGAGGCTCTTAACAACCAGGAAGGCCCATTGATTAGGAAAGGCCAGCCTGACAGATTGATAGCCCCGTGGCCGCCTCCTCAGGGTTGGTGCTGTTGTGTGTAGCTATAAACAGGGCCCTCAAAAGAATGGCATCACCTCCCATTAATAGTCTCTGGGAAGATGATCTCACCTGACATTTTAGCTGGGCCCCTCTGCTCAGTGGCTGGCACTGCTGGACCAGGAGGTGAGTGGGATTCTCATGAACGAGATCCCCCACACCTGCATGTTGACCTTCCAGCCATAGGCTTAGCTCTTCCTCCCCTGGGTGAGGGTGCCAATCAGTAAGTGGACAAAAAGAAATCTCTTCCCCTCCAGAGTCTACTAATCCCATCTCAGCAAACTCTCCTTGAGAGGTGCAAGTGCCCCTGTGAGGGTTAGGCTCAAAGATCATTCATGCCCAAGGGAATTGCAGACGTCAGTGAAGTTACAGTTAGAAACGGTTGATGGGTTGGGGAGGGTGCTAAGCACCTTGGAAAGGAAATTCTAGGAGCTTGGAGGTGTGAGGGAGAGAGGACTAACAAAAAGCAAGCAGTCAGCCCTCCCTACCTGCAAGTTCCACATCCTCAGATTCAATCAACCACAGATCAAAAATGTGCAAAAAGTAAAAAAGATAACATTACAATAATAAATGCAAATAATACAGTGTGATAACTATTTACATAGCATTTACATAATATTTGCTATTATAAGTAAGTTAGAGAAGATTTAAAGCATTAGGGGAGGGTATGTGTAGGTTACATGCAAATACCACACCATTTTATAATAAGGGACTTGAGCATCATGGATTTTGGTATCTGCGGCAGTCCTAGAACCAACCCTCCAAGGATACTGAGGGGTGAATGTGAATAAATACAGAACAGAATATCAGGTAGCACCACGTGTAATGAAGATTTAGTACTCTGGCATAGTGAGTCATGGGGGCAGTTGGGTTGCTACTAGTGTGGTCAAGGAAGGCTTCCCTGAGGAGATAACATTTGAGCAAAGACTTGAACAAAGTGACAAAGTGAGTATAGGAGGGAGCAAGGGCAAAGACCCGGAAACTTTGGATTCACAGACCAGCAAGTGGACCTGTGCGATGGGAGCCAAATGGACAGGAAGGAGAGGTAGAAAATCAGGGTGGAGGGTGCAGGCCTTGAGGGTCTCCATGAGCTCATGGGGATGTATAGAGAGCACGGGGAAGCCACTGGAAGGCTTGGAGAAGGAAAAAGGCAAGATCTTCAGCACAGATTTGTCACCCTCCACCTACTTTTGTGCCTCCCTTCCAGGGGGGACTAGACCCAGGGCTGGGCTCGCAGGTGCACAGAGTGGGTAACAGTTAAAGACAGGATCTAGAGGACTGGACATGGCCTGGTGGTTCCTCTGGCAGCCTCATCCTTTTCTCTTCCCATTCCTTGTCTTTCTCCTTCCCCTCCTGTCTTTCCTTCTGCACTCTTTGGCCCAAAGCACTGTGCTTCAGTTTCGAGGGTGAATAGCCCCTGGTTTCTCATCTACCATCCACTTCTAGGTGGCATGCACTCCCTGTCCAGCTCCGGGTCACCCCAACCCCTGCCCCTGGAGCTCTACATCCTGCTGACTCCTGGGCAGGGCCATGGGGAGCCTTTGTGCCCTGACACCCTTTCACAGTGGTGTGACTGGGCTGACCAGGTGACCTGGGCCCCTCATCAGTGGGAGTAAGTAGGTCCCAGGTCCTGGGATTTCATTCCAACTTGTCTCTCCAACAGCTCAGGGAAACAACTTAACCGTACAACTATTAAGCACTCACTGTTGTAGGTTCCGGGTAGGGAGGAGAGTTGGGGTCGGGGCACTGACATAGACAGGAAGAAAGTCTGTGCCCTCCAGTCATTTTCCAGGAGTGAGATGAATCCTCTGCAAGGCTGACTGACAGGTGCTGGACTTAATAAAGGAGCACTGCTTTGTTCATGTCAGGGAGGGAGACATGATTTTCTGAAATTTGTCTTGGAGGAGATCATCTCTGAAATTGGCCTTTGAAATACTTGAAGGCCTTCCAGGGGGATGGGCGGCAGGGGCTGCCATGGGATGGACTCCTGCCAGAGGGTGCCAGCTCCAGAGCAGTGTGGCCGGCAGTGTGCACTGGCTTTCTTCTGGTGCCTGATGCCATGATGAAAAATCAAGCGTGGAGGCGTGCTCGGAGCATGGTCAGGAGACAAGACCCGCACTTGGGAATCAACAGGCAAGCTCGCTTAGCATTCACCAGATGCCCAATGAGGCATTGCGGCAGGAAGGTTATCAGAGCACAGAGAAAACCAGAGCTGCCCAGGACCTTTGGAATCATTCTGGGCAGTTCATTTTCTTGAGGTCAGGGGGGCCTTTGAGATTCAATAAAAGCTATCAATGCTCCTCCAAAGAAATGCGTGTCTGTACATACACACTAAATTTTAAAAATTGAGTTATAATTTATATACCATAAAATTCACCATTTTAAAATGTACAATTCAGTGGTTTTTAGTATACTCACAAGGTTGTGTAACCATTATCACTATCTAATTCCAGAATGTTTACATTACCCCAGGAAGAAATGTCATACCCTTTAGTAGCCATTCCCCGTTCTCCCCTTTCCCTGGCCCCTGGTAGCTACCCATCTGCTTTGTTTCTAAGGATATGTCTGTTCTGGACATTTTATTTAAATTGAATCATACAGCAGGTAGCCTTTTGTGTCTGGCTTTTTTCATTTAACATAATGTTTTTAAGGTTCATCCGTGTTGTAAAATGTATTGGACTCAATTTTTTATGAATAGTATTTCTGACTAATATTCCTTTGTATGGATATAGCACATTTTGTTCATAGAACCCCTGAAACCTCTCTTGATTTCAGAAAACCTTATTTTACAAAAGGGAGGAGTTGAAGAGGGAATGGAGAAGGCAGGAAAGCTCACTATAACTTATTACTATGTATTGAGTGGTGCTGGGCTAAGCACTTTATATATGTGTGATCATGTAATTCTTAACCCTGTGACATATTATAATCCCCATATTACAGATGGGGAAACTGAGGCTCAGAGAAACCATCCCAAGCTTCTTGGAGAAGTCAAGATTTAAGCTGAGCTTTGACTGCCAGCCTGTGAAAAGCAACTGCACATCCTGTCACCTCTTGACTTTCATCAAAGCCCTTATTTCCTTCCATTTATTTTTTAATGGAGTATGAATTCCCTATCTACCAACAAGGCATTTGTTTTGCTAAGCCCAGAATCGCCCCAGTGCCCAGAAGGCATCCCAGACTGCTGTAAAATGACCCTCTCCCCAAAGTGATGTGTGATTGAAGCCCCCGCCTCCTGCCGTTCCCCTTCAGGAGCTGCTGAGCCTCCAGCCAAGGCTGCCTGTGTGTCAGGCTGTGGTAATAATAGCTGAGAGGCATCTCCTGAACAGCTGAGACATGTGTAGCTGTTGCCCTGACTGCGATGCTCCCACGGTGTGCCCCGCCTGGTGGGGAGATGCCAGGGTCAAGCCAAGGGCGGTGGGCATGCGGTGGGTGGGGGGTTCTGCGGCAAGGAGGGTGGCTGCTGTCTGAAGCCCAGCAGCAGCTGCCATGCTCTGCTTTGTCTCTCAGCCGGTGGACAACCAGCAAGCCATGGTGCGCAGGGAGTCTGTGGTCAATCTGGAGAACTTCAAGAAGCAGTATGTCCGCCGGCGGTGGAAGGTGTGTCTGGGGCTGGGGTGGCCCGGGGGACCTGGGTGGGGTTTCTGGCTCTCCTGGGTCTCCGTGTACATTCTCACCTGGGCGTTCCTTTTCTCTGCCTCCCTCAGCTCTCCTTCAGCATCGTGTCCCTGTGCAACCACCTCACCCGCTCGCTGATGAAGAAGGTGCACCTGAGGCCAGATGAGGACCTGGTGGGTAAATGCGTGCCCTCTTCTTGGGCAGAATTCTGCGGTAGCCTGGAGCTCAGGGATGAGTGAGTTCCCTTTCCCCTTGCAAGGCAGGTGGGTGTTCACTGTTCCCAGCCAGTTCTGCTGGCCCAGTCCTCCTCTTCCCTGAAGGCTGAAGTGTGATCCTCAGAGGAATGTGGGGACCTCCGGGTGGTGCCAGGAGGGGAGGGCTGATGCAGCAGCATGAACTCCTGGAGGATCTCCCATCCTTTCCTGGTGGGCTGTCAGAGGGGCCGCTGCTGCCGGCTGACCACAGACAACCTCAAACGTATTTCTGACACAACCCAAAAGCTGCTTTAGAATGGGAGCTTTACATTCTCTTTTCCGTATTTCCATTTCTGCTTTGCTTCAGATTACCATCATCATAATATTTAGACAAGATCTTATATTTGATTGCTTTATTGCCATTTTGTATACATTTAAAAGGAGTAGCTTATAACAGAATATACTGATGAAGAGGGTGGTCTCTGGAGTCAGAGTGCCAGGATTCAAATCTGCCACTTACTGTGTGACCTTGAGGAAATTGCTTAACCTCTCTGTGCTGAGATTTCATCATTTGTAAAATAGGGTTAATAATAGTTCCTAAAGGTTAAATAATGACATTTTTTTTTTTTTTTTTTTTTTTAAAGACAGATTTTCACTCTTCTTGCCCAGGCTGGAGTACAATGGTGCGATCTCGGCTCACCACAACCTCCACCTCCCAGGTTCAAGCGATTCTCCTGCCTCAGCCTCCCGAGTAGCTGGGATTACAGTCATGTGCCACCACACCCAGCTAATTTTGTATTTTTAGTAGAGACAGGGTTTCTCCATGTTGGTCAAGCTGGTCTTGAACTCTCAACTTCAGGTGATCTGCCCACTTTGGCCTCCCAAAGTGCTGGGATTACAGGCATGAGCCACCGTGCCCGGCCAATAATGACCTGTTCTTACAGCCTGGTATGTAAGTGCTCAGTAAGTGTTAGCAATTATTGTTGTTTAAAACCCTCCTGTAGGCTGGCCGTAGTGGTTCGTACCTATAATCCCAGCACTTTGGGTGGCTGAGGCAGGAGGTTCACTTGAGTCCAGGAGTTAAAGACCAGCCTAGGCAACATAGTGAGACCCTGACTCTACAAAACAAAACAAACAAACAAACAAAATTAGCCGGGTATGACGACGCGCACCTATAGTCCTAGCTACTCAGGGAGCTGAGGTGGGAGGATCACCTGAGCCCAGGAGTTAAAGGTTACAGTGAATTATGATCACGCCACTGCATTGCAGCCTGGGCAACAGAGCATGGCCCTACCTCTAAAGAAAATTAAATTTACAAATTAAAAAAATAAAATCCTCCTGTAGACTTTAAAATGCAGTTGGTAGGGGTTCCCCGGACAGCCCTCTCCCCCGCTTATGGAGTGTGGTATAGGGTGCTCAGGAGTGTCTGGGATGCCACAGGTCAGGACAGAAGGGGATGCCTTGCTCAGGGAGGGACTGGGAGGTGGGTGCCTAAGAGGGCTGAACAGCCTCATGGTGCACGGCTAGACCCACGACAGCCCTGCTGTCCCCACTCCCTCCACACAGCCTGGGGTCTTCTGTCTTCAGCGTGATCTCTTGCCAGCACTTGAGGATTTCTGGCCCAGAGGCCCCAAATAACTGTGTGGCTTTGGCCAAGCCTTGTGCCTGCTCTGGCTGCTTTCCTCATCTCCTGTGAAGGGGATTGGACCACTGTCCCTCTGAGAATCCCTGATAATGACAAGCAGACTTCACCCAGCTTATTTTTTTACTGTTTGGCTCTGACTCATGCTAAAAAGTTGCTATTCGGCAGAGCTCGAGTTATTTTTATTGTTATAGCCGGGCTTGGTCTAGGATATTTGGCTAAAGTTGATCTTGACCTTGGATTTCCAGCTGGCTCAGGCTGGAGGAAGGGGAAAAGACCCTGGGAGGATGAGTGGCAGATGGTGGGCATGCCTCGCAGGCTGAGCCACTGGCCCTGCTTCCCTGACAGATGCAATCTGTGGGGAGAGAGGACCAGAGTAATTGAGAAGAATGCCAATTTTTTTTTTTTTTTTTTTTTTTTGAGACAGAGTTTTACTCTCTCCCAGGCTGCAGTGCAGTGGCACCATCTCAGCTCACTGTGACCTCCACCTCCCGGGTTCAAGAGATTCTCCTGCCTTAGCCTCCTGATTAGCTGGGATTACAGGCCTGCACCACCATGCCCGACTAATTTTTGTATTTTTAGTGGAAATGGGGTTTTGCCGTGTTGGCCGGGCTGGTCTCGAACCCCTGACCTCAGGTGATCCGCCCACCTCGGCCTCCCAAAATGGTGAGATTACAGGCGTGAGCCACCGCGCCCAGCCAAAAAGAATGTCAATTTCTTTCCAAACTTTTGTTCTTGTACAAATATTCTTTTTTTTAAATTTTTTTAATTTTTAAAGTCTTTTTTTTTTTTATTATTATACTTTAAGTTCTAGGGTACATGTGCATAACGTGCAGGTTTGTTACATATGTATACTTGTGCCATGTTGCTGTGCTGCACCCATCAACTCGTCAGCACCCATCAACTCGTCATTTACATCAGGTATAACTCCCAATGCAACAAATATTCTTAAATAGTACTCTTTTTACTCAAACAGCAAGCATCATCAGCTCAAAGTTTCATCCTAGAAGTGGAAAAGGGTTGGGTCCCAGATATCTGTTATACAGTTTTCCCAAAGGGACTTTCCTTTAAAAAAAAAAAAAAAGGGCCAGGCGCTGTGGCTCATGCCTGTAATCCCAGCACTTTGGGAGGCCAAGGTGGGTGGATCATGAGGTCATGAGTTCGAGACCAGCCTGGCCAACATGGTAAAACCCCATCTTTACTAAAAATACAAAAATTAGCTGGGTGTGGTGGCACGTGCCTGTAATCCTGGCTACTCAGAAGGCTGAGGCAGGAGAACTGCTTGAACCAGGACCCGGGAGGCGGAGGTTTCAGTGAGCCGAGATCACGCCATTGCACTCCAGCCTGAGCAACAAGAGTGTAACTGTCTCAAAAAAAAAAAAAAAAAGCACTGGAATTGGACATTGGACAACAGATATTTTAGGACTGAAGTCATTGTGGATTAGTACTTCTTTTAATAATTTTAATAATTACATTAGATTATCAAGACTTGGATGAAAAGACATTTTGACCTCAGGGTGGCTGCCTCAGCTCTGGTTTGCCATGTAGGAGCTGACAGACAGTACTTTAGACTCATTTCCTCTTTTATAAAAATGGAACTCAGAAGTCCTTTCCCTGGAAAAACTGCTTGACAAGGTGGCTAAAGGTGCAGCCCATCAAAGAAGAAGGGGCATGGCATGGTGGCTGTCGGAGCATGGGGAGGACCCTGTGGCTCATGGCCATCCTCCAGTCTCTCTAGGCCGAGCTCAGGAGACCCGGCAGCCACAGACCACCCAGCCAAGTGGCCTTGATTATGTGGCAGCCTCAAGGGGAACTAGATGTAATTTTCTTTAGTATCATTTGGCTTCTCCTGATGTCTGGTTTCCCTTAGATGCCCTGCTGCTTTCCTTCCTCCTGGGAGCATCCTTCCTCAAAGTAGCTGGTCTAGCCTCATTTCAGATCCCTCCCCTCCCCCAACCCCTGGATGGTGCAACAGACTTGCTTTCACCCCCCACCTCCCTGGCTTGCAGGCCCCTGGCCCAGGTGAATCAACCCAGGTTGCCCAGCATAGCCCCATTCCTGGCATCTCATGATCCTCCTGCCCTGGACCTCTTTCTCTTTGCTTTCTCCAGAGGAACTGTGAGAGTGACACTGAGGAGGACATCGCCAGGAGGAAAGCCCTCCACCCGCGGAGGAGGAGCAGCACCTCCTAACTGGCCTGGCCTGCAGTGGCTGCCAGGGAAGTCTGGGCCCAGCGGCGCTCCCTTCTGTGCAGACTCTTGGACCTAGCTCAGCACCAGCACCCGGCGTCCTGAGCACTTCGCAAGAGAGGTGGGCCCACAGAATTCAGAAGAGCTTGCAGGCAAGCCGACCCTGGGAGCTGTGGCTGTCTCCTGTGGAGGAGGCTCCGACTTTCCCAAAGCTCTTAATTCTCCATAAAATGGGCTTTCCTCTGTCTGCCATCCTCAGAGCCTGGGGTAGGGGTGTGGACTTAGGAAAACAATATAAAGGACATCCTCATCATCACGTGGTGAAGGTCAGACTCAGGCAGCCTTCCTCACAGGCTGAGGGGGTTCAGAACCAGCCTGGCCAAAAATTACACCAGGAAGACACAGTCCTCCCTACTGGGAACAGGGTGATTGAGGAAAGTGAACCTTGGGTGTGAGGGACCAATCCTGTGACCTCCCAGAACCACGGAAGCCAGGACGTCAGGCTGACCAACACCTCAGACCTTCTGAAGCAGCCCATTGCTGGCCCACCATGTTGTAATTTTGCTCATTTTTATTAAACTTCTGGTTTACCTGATGCTCGGCTTCTTTTAGGGCTACTCCCATCTGATTTCCTTTAGCCCGTGTGCCTGTGACTCTGGGGGGGCACCCAGTGGGGTGCTGAGTGGACAGAATCTCAGAAGGTCCTCCTGAACTGTCCCCGCAGGCCTGCAGTGGGCCTGCCTCCTTCTTGCTTCCCTAACAGGAAGGTGTCCAGTTCAAGAGAATCCACCCAGAGACTGGGAGTGGTGGCTCATGCCTGTCATCCCTGCGCTTTGGCAGTCCAAGGCAGGGGAATTGCTTGAACTCAGAAGTTGGAGACCACTCTGGGCAACATGGCAAAACCCAGTCTCTACAAAAAATACAAAAAATTAGAGGTGTAATGGTAGGCACCTGGCGTCCCAGCTACTCCAGGGGCTGAGGCAAGAGCATTGCTTAAGCCCAGAAGGTCGAGGCTGCAGTGAGCTGAGATCACATCCCTGCACTCCAACCTGGGTGACAGAGAGAGACCGTATCCAAAAAAAAAGGTTGCCAGAGACGAGCATGCCCGTGCTCCCTCTACCTCACTGCCACCACTCCTGCTGTCAGGGGCTGAGTGTGTCTCCCTAAAATTCCTATGTTGAAGTCTTAACCCTCGGTACCACAGAGTATCACTGTATTTGGAGATGGGGGCTTTAGAAAGGCACTTAAATTAAAATGAGCTCACTGGTGTGGGCCCCGATGCAATATAATTGGTGTCCTTATAAGAAGGGGAGGGTAGGACAGGCAGGAAAGGCCACACGAAGGCCCAGGAGTGGGAGGGGGAATAGCCATGAACAAACTAAGGAGGGGGCTCAGAGGAAACCAACCCTGCTGACACCTCAGTCTTAGACTCTGGCCTCAAACATAGTAAGAAAATAAACTTCTGTCTTTTAAGCTACTCAGTCTGTGGTACTTTGTTATGGCAGCCCTAGCAAAATATACACCTGCCAAGATGGGGGCAGAAGAATCCCTAATGATGTGGGTGGAGAAGGGCAAAGAAGGATCCACGGGGAGAAGGGAGAGGAGAAAGAGACGGATGACCTGGCCCCTTGGAAATGGCAAGGCAAGCTCACTCAATGGCATCGAAATGTGGGCCCTGTTTTTCAGGCCACAAGAACAGTGTTGCTGAACAGACTCAAGAGATGACCCATGGAAGTCAGAAATACAGTCAGGGTGAGGCCAGGAGGCTGGGAAAGTACATGGGAAGAGGCTGAAAGAGAAGTTTTAGAAGGTGAGGAAACTGAGCTGAGGAAGTGAGCCAGGAAGGAGAGAGGGGAAAACTATTATTTAAAAGAAAGAGTCCTGGGGAAAGAGGTCCCAGTTCCCTTTGTCAGCAGACAGTGGATGGGTCCAGAGCAAAATGGCCCCACAGGAACAGCAAGGCAACCTAGTTTCAGAAAAGTGTCCCGCCAGAGATGGAGTGAGCCCACAAGCTGGTTGCAGAAAGCGTAGCAGCTGACCTGGACTTCTGGAGCTTCCCCAGATCTCAGGTAGAAACAGTCCTGTGCCTCCCTCCACCCTGGAAGGATAGCAGAGGCCAAGAACTGCCGACTGTGGGCAAGGGCCCTGGGCCTGCGAGGGGCTCTTGGCTGTGGTTGGTTACATAAATCAGCAGGGTGTGTTCTGGAACAGGGCTCACTGGGAGCTCCTAGGAAGTCAGTTATGGTAATGGGGTGAGGCACTGCCCTCCTGCTAGGAAGGAGAGTAGGGAAGACCTTTGAGGAACCCAGTCTTGATCAGAAAGTTAGCCTTTTACAACTTGTCTAGCCCAACCACTACGTTTCACTGAAGAGGAAACCGATGCCTAGAGAGAGGAAGTGACTAGTGCTTCATGCAACAAATTTGTGAAAATATCTGATGAAAGCCCAGAATTTCTGGCGCCTAGTAACAGTGCTCATTTCTTCAGCTGATAAACTGCGGTGTACCTTTCAGGAAAGGATGAACCATTCGCTTTGCCTCATTGTTAATGAGTCTCATGTATTCTTGACTGTTGCTTGCCACATCCTTCATTCTTGGAAAAGGAATAAATTGACACACTTGCTTCTACCCATCTTTCACAGTAAAGGACACTGCCCCTGGATGGGGGCATCTCAGCAGCCTACCCCCACAGGCTGCAAGGCAGTCAGGGAACCAGTATTTATTGGGCTCCTGCTGTATGCTTGGCACTGTTCTAGATGCTAGGTTGGAACAGAGCAGGATAGACACAGACCCTGTCCTAAAGGGGTCCACGTTCTCTAAGCCCTGGGAAACCAGGACTCCATCATTCTCATATCTCCTCCTGGCCCTCTTCTCATCCAGGTTATACAAAGCCCTGCTGACTTAGTCCTCTTAGCCCAGCTTTCTCGTGTTGGATGGCACCTGCTGTGTTTCCCAGAAGCCCTTGGGAAGCACACGGCCAGGCAGTGGGCCGAGGGGGGCCTTTGAGGATGTACAATCCTTTGAGGATGACTTTGAGGACCAGCAGCCAGAAGCCAGGCACCCATGCGCCTCCCAGACAGGGGCCCAGTCCCTGTGGCCTCTCCGCTAGCAGCTAGCAGACGGCTGCGGCCGCAGGTGTGAGGATGAGCACCGCGGGGGGCCAGGACACCACCTGTGTTCTGTTGGCTCTGAAGAAGGATGTGTTGACCAGCTGACACTTTCAGGGCTGAAAGAGACCACAGCATCCTCAGAGGCAAATGGAACATTCCAGTGATGAAAGCCATACCAAATGCAATTCTTTCAAGAGGTCTGGAGGGGTCCTGCCCCAGAGTGTGTGCTTACGTGAGTGTTGGATGCTGCATTAATATTTCACAAATATCCATATCAATATTTTAGTGTGTTGCATTTCGATGTCAATCTCACTAGCTTTCCTGCCTCCAAATCTTAGATTGCCTTTGCCTTTTCCCTTCGTCTATGTATTTGCTGAAAACCTTCTTTTGGAAGCGAATGAAAGCCATACGGTAAGGTGAACTACAACATCTCTCTGAAGGAAAAGTCAGGCCCTGGACTCCACAGACAGTCAAAATAAGTGCATGTGAAAGAACTAACTTGAGGACTCGTATCTCACAGGGAATTTTATCTGGCATAGGATTGGAGAACTTTCCTTCCATCGAGTCCCCAACTTGATTTCATCCTGACATTGTTCGATTCACTGTAGCTGCACCCCCAAGGACAATATCTTCCTCGGTGGTCTGCTGAGAGGATCCCATTCTAAGCAAACATTAATAGGCTTACGGATTAAGCAGCTGAAGATCTGTGAACGATGGTTCATTGACATTTCAAAAAGCAGACACACCACTGGTGAGCTCCCCTTAACAGTTTCTGTCCTCCCGTTTTGCCCTCTCTCACTGGTTCTTTTTCACTCCCCCTTCATCCATTAGCAATTCATAATATATAGCTGAAGTATATATTTTAGTAATTTACGTATTGAATAAAATTCGTGTTCCCAGTTCTTAATCTAAAAAGCAGTTGATTATATTATCTAGGGAGAAATATTTTTTAAAGTATTTTTTTCCTCTATGGATCAGTGATCCTCCACCCCTAAGCTGGAGGAAGAGTGAAAGAAAAAAAATGAAGCTCATAACAATTGTTTAAACTCTGCTCTGCAATAGGAACATTTTGCATACATTTCCTTTAGTCCTCGTCCTAGTCTTGTAAGGGAAATGAGAGTCCCATTGATATGATGCAGCTGAGATTCCGTGGAGTGAGGAAATTTGCATATGCAGTCACACAGCTGGAGTACTTAGAATCGGGATTCTAGCCCCGCTTTGCCTACCCTCAAATCCACTTTCTTCTCTCCTTTTCCTGGAGAAGTAGTGTTCAATGAAAAAGTAATCCCGGAGAACCATGTACACTATTATACTCTTGTTTAAAAAGCTCACAAACTATGCCATAAGTTGTTTAGGGATACATGTGAATGTGATAAAATTAATTAATTTTTGAGACAGTTTCTAGTTGCCCAGGCTGGAGTGCAACGGCGTGATCTCAGCTCACTGCAACCTCCGCCTCCCGGGTTCAAGTGATTCTCCTGCCTTCTACGTGGGATTACAGGTGCCCGCCACCATGCCCAGCTGATTTTGTATTTTTAGTAGAGATGGGGTTTCAGCATGTTAGCCAGGCTGGGCTTGAACTCCTGACCCCAGGTCATCCATCTGCCTCGGCCTCCCAAAGTGTTGGGATTACAGGTGTGAGCCACCGCGCCTGGCCTAAAATTGAATGTTAAAAGCAAGGGAATGACTGCGTTCCAAATTCAGGATGAAACTTACATCTGGGTGGCTGAGATGGGGAGGAGGACAAGGGTGGGCGCTGGGCTGTTGGCAGTGTTCCAGTCAACACTGAGTTCACGGTGGGCTCCTGCAAGTTCTATTTATTAGAATGCTTTCTAACTTACATACTAGCTGTCAGGCCTCTGAGCCCAAGCCAAGCCATCGCATCCCCTGTGACTTGCATGTATATATGCCCAGATGGCCTGAAGTAACTGAAGAATCACAAAAGAAGTGCAAATACCCTGCCTCACCTTAACTGATGACATTCCACCACAAAAGAAGTGAAAATGGCCGGTCCTTGCCTTAAGCGATGATATTATCTTGTGAAATTCCTTTTCCTGGCTCATCCTGGCTCAAAAAGGTCCCCAACTGAGCACCTTGTGACCCCCCACTCCTGCCCGCCGGAGAACAACCCCTCTTTGACTGTAATTTTCCTTTACCTACCCAAATCCTATAAAACGGCCCCACCCTTAGCTCCCTTCGCTGACTCTTTTCGGACTCAGCCCGCCTGCACCCAGGCGATTAAAAAACTTTATTGCTCACACAAAGCCTGTTTGGTGGTCTCTTCACATGGATGCGCATGACATTAGTTGTCTATACTTTTGCATGTATCAAACATTATGTTAAAGATAAAGGGAGAAAATGAGGTGGAAAAAGTCCATCCTAATGGTCACCAGCTGCTGCAGTGGCCTCTGTTAGGGACAGGACATAGTGCCCCTCCCTGCTGTGTTTTTCCCACACGACTCGACGGCAGGCTTTTCTTTGTGTTCTTCTACTGGCACCTAGATCAGAGGTCATCATGCCACTCAGTGTGAGAATCCGTGGGCTGGAATTTTTTTTTCCTTTTTATTTATTTATTATATATATATATTTTTGAGATGGAGTCTCGCTCTGTCGCCCAGGCTGGAGTGCAGTGGGGCAATCTCGGCTCACTGCAACTTCCGCCTCTTGGGTTCAAGCGATTCTCCTGCCTCAGCCTCCCTAGTAGCTGGGACTACAGGCACCCGCCACCACGCCCAGCTAATCTTTGTATTTTTAGTAGAGACAGGGTTTCACCATGTTGGCCAGGATGGTCTCGATCTCTTGACCTGGTGATCCGCCCGCCTTGGTCTCCCAAGGTGCTGGGACCACAGGTGTGAGCCACCGCGCCCGGCCTTTATTCCCTTTTTAAAGAGACTGGGTAGGAAATAGCCTCTGCCCGCTGCAGCCCTGTCTCCTCAAACATCGCCTCCCCTGGGAGTTTGCTAAGGCCGTGGGTCTGAGGACAACTTCCAAGGGCCGACGAGGCTGTTTGCCAGCTCATGCTCCGGGTGCCTTTACGTCTCTTTGGATTTAAACCCAGAGGCCAGAACAGCATTTGAAAAGTCAGCTGGGCCATTATCCTGCTCCTAGATGGGATTGCACTTGGGTTTCTTTGTCTTATTTTAGAATTGAGCCAGGGAGATCCTATATCATCCCTCAATTCCCTTCTCCAGTTCTTAATAGTATTATATTTCACCACTCAGATCCAAAAAGCCTGGGCTACATCCTGCCACTTTGCAGCTGTTGGAACTTAGCCTTGTCATTCAACCTTTCTGGGCCTCAGTCTTCTAATCTGTGAAATGGTGATATCAGTGTTACTTGTCATGAATGCCTTGTTGAAACCAATTTTGTA